CCATTTCTGATGCTCAAGTGCCCAGTGTAGGTGCTTTCAGCGGTAGACAGGGGTCAGCATGGGCACTCTGACCGTCTGTGACTATGCAGCCCCATACACAGCAAGCTGCGATGCATTCTGTGTTCTGAAACTTTTCTATAACAGCCAGCATTAACTTTTTCAGCAATTTGTGCTACAGTAGAGCTCTGTGGGCTCAGACCAGACGGGACAGCCTTCGCTCCCCATGCGCATCAGTGAGCCTCTGGCGCCCATCATCCTGTTGCTGATTCACTGGCTGTCCTTCCTTGAACCACTTTTGTTAGGTACTAACCACTGCATACCGGGAACACCCCACAAGACCTGCTGTTTTGGAAATGCTCTGACCCAGTCTTCCATCCATCACAATATGGCCCTGGTCAAAGTCGCTCAGATCCTTGCGCTTGCCTATTTTTCCTGCTCCCAACACATCAACTTTGACAACTGACCATTCATTTGCTGCCTAATATATCCCACCCCTTGACAGGTGCCATTGTAATGAGATAATCAATGTTATTCATGTCACCTGTCAGAGGTTTTTATGTTATGGCTGATCGGTGTGTATGTGTGTGTATATATTATAGAGTTGTAACAGAATTAGTAATAGTAACATCAGTAGTCGCAGAGATATCAGTAGTACTATCGTACCATCACTAGCCCTTTCTCTTGATTTTGCTGCAGGCCTTGTACAGAATATATTATATTTATTGCCTATACTTTTGTATAATTAAATTGTTCTTATTAGTATAATAGCCTAGGGTCATTACTTCACTTTTTGTCCAGTCAGCAAAGTGCCTTGAGTTGAGATTGCCATGTGATTCAATTAGACACAGCAGAACTCCCTTTAAAGGCAACCCATCACAAGCTCTTTGCAAACTTCTCCTGTAATATAATGAGAGTAATTTGGATCATCTAACATAAGATGGAATCCTATGGTAAAAGCTCATGAGGAACTAAACAGTAATAAGCAGGTCTGTTTATTAAAGTATAACAAGAGAAAATTAGATTGGGCTCTCAGTGAGGTAGGTAGAGTTAGGGGTGCATTACACAAAACTCTTTAGCTTGATGTCAGTGGAAATATAAAGTTTTCTTTTACGAATTGTAAAGAACTGTGAAAATAACTTGTTACTCTTGTTCTTTTGCTTAGTCAGAATTTTGTTTGTATATCTCTTCTGTACTGAAAGACTATTTATTTCATACACATGACTGATTATCACATTTGTAAGAATAAGTGACGCAGCCAAGAAAAAATATGCTTGTTATGAAACACAGTTTACAACATTTAGCAATATTTGCATTTTTCATGAACACTGATGTAATATTTTAGGCAGCATTTTCAGAGTGTTCAGTAGGTTGGAGAAATGAACGACTGTGACTGTGTATATTTGTGGATTGTGATTCAGTACAGAATGACCTTATTTGACATGAGCAATAGTAAATGGTAAGTTTAGCATAAGCAATGGTCTTGGTCCCTTGAAACCTGAAATGAAAATGGGATAAAGAGGATACACTGGATTAAATGTATTTATTTATACAACGTGCTGTTGGATTCTTGGTTCTGACCGATCAGAAGGCGAATATGTGTTCCTGTTAAAGTGGCCAGTTTATATTAATATTATCCTTCTACAGGGTTTCCCAAAAGTCTCCATACATAGGGGACTATGTATGCCAGCACCAGCTGTGCCTTCGTCAGTGGATGTTCGTGGACGTCCACGTCTTGGTTGGTCCGTGACACTTCCAGTCTTTTTGAATTTGTTAATAAGTTCGGCAACAGAGTCGTGTGTGATGTGCTTGCCACGTTTCCTGTTAAAGTCCATTGCAACCTTGTGACAGCTTCCCGATCCAGCCATGGGAATGATTTCAAAACATTCTTCTTTTGTCAAAGGTATTCTTAAAGGCTATCTGAAAGAAAAATAAAAATAATTTGGGACACCCTGTAATACATATTGTCTCACTTCTATAGTAACAGCTGTATAGTAATTCACAGGAACCTATATGGATTATGAAGCTCCACATAATTCAAGCTAATAAGAAATGAATTAAAAACCGTGGTGTTATTTAAAAATTATAACATATAATTGTATATGTGGTGAAGCTTGGAGATGTTGGTTTAGCATTTTTTGGAGGAGTACTGAGGGTCAGTGCTATGTAACACTTAGAGAGAAAGCTATAACTTTAAGCTTTCCACCACAGGAAAGTCTTCAAGACAGAGGTTTGCGATTTCTCTGTAACATGATAAGATGCATTTTTTTTGTTTTATTAATTTCAAGAAGGAACAAAATTAGAGGCTGCTGAAGAAATGGTTGCTTATAGCTGCTATAAAGTAAGTGATAACAAAAACTTGTTTCACAGAGATTCCACAACATGCAACTCTAAACTTTAATGTAACTATTAAAAATATATATTGTTCCTTAGAATTTAACAACAGCACACCCTCTCATGTTTTATCCCCTACATAATATTATGTTATTTTTCAGATTTAATGCTGCTTGTTCCTTGGTGGCCAGATAATATCATACTCCAAAGTTTAAAATACATAATTTGTATCATCTGTATCTGTATGTGTAATGATCATCTGTAAATCCAGCATCCAAGGTACTTATGAAGAGATATTTGATATTAAAAGATAAAAGATATAAAAAGGTTTTTTTTTTCAAACCACTTGATGATTGATTAAATAGAAAAATGTAGATACTTAATAAAAGCATGCATATGTAAGACACCATTTGTTTTACTGCATTGTAATTTGGATAGTTTTAGCTTAGTTTTTTTGTTCTTTAATTGTGTTCTCTTTGTTGTTTTGTAATGTTTCCAGTGTCAAATCTGTAATGGATTTTGTCCAGCGACCTTGAGTTTGAGAAAATACGCACAATAGCATAAATGCAATCTATTAGTAAATTTACTTGCATATTGCCAAATATGTATCTGATTTATCCCCAAAATGACTTTGTTTGTGACCAAATTATAAAAGCAGCTATATTTCTATCTTAAATCAGTCAAATATATTCATAGGTCAGGTTGAAGCAAATGAGCCTACAAAATTAGTATGTATTGATCTCTCAAGCCCACCAATAATGATGATAAATATAGTGTAGACATTTGCTTGCCCAAAAGGAAAAAAAATGACTACGAAATGTAGTTTTGTTACTCATAATTAAGCATATGAAGTGTTGCCTTTCCTTAAAAATTCATTCAATTATTTATCTTCAGTAGAAAAAAAAGATATTTTATGCCAGCTTTTCCAAGTTTGAATTATTGTTTATTCAATAAAGTTTCAGCAGCAGCATCAAAACCATAAATATGGTCAACTCTAACTCCTCCCACTCTCAAATCCATGTCCATACGCTACTTGTGATTAATCATAGACCTTACATGTGGGTAAACGTATTGCTCTGCACTACAGTTCGCGACTGTTTCGTGGACAGTAATTGTAGCAGTTCTACGCTCGCTCCAGCTCTTGTGTTTAGTAGTTGCTCTCAGTGTTCTTCCTACAATTATCTTTGAAAGCTTTTTCGGATTCTGCAAAAGTGCCCCCTCATTTTGAATGTAAACCTGTATACAAACTGTATAAGGAGGTAGCTTTACAGTACATTGTTGTGTGATAAGTGCTAAAAGCTTTGAGTGGCTAGCTCTTAAGTGCAGATTTTCATGTTATAGATGGCCTTCAATAATGGAGATAATGATGGGTGACTCTAGTGCTCGGAAGTTAACAAGGCATCATGAGGGTTTTACATATGAAGGTTGAAGATTATTAAAGTGATACTTAATGTCACAGGAATCCACACACACTCTTTTACGGTTCTACACAATGAATTGGGGCGATTATGATTTTTAAAAGTTCTTCAATGACTGAATATAAGAAATAAGAAAGCTGATATCCAAACCAAAGATTACTGAATTACTAGATATGAAGTAATGCACTTTACTAGTTACAGTAGCCTTGTCTTCACTTCGCATATCCAAATTATACTGTCTGTAAATGCTGGGGACCAATAAACTCGACAGTAAACTTGCCTTTGCATTTTATGGATTCCAACAGATACCCTCTAGCCCTATCAAAAGATCAATTGCAATGTGTTTTGTGAACCATCATTTACAATCAATGCCTTGTGCATTAAATAAGAGACTTGTGATCAATCATCTTGATGTTCATGGGAGATGGATAATCAAAGTTCCCAAGCTTTGCCAAAGAAAAAACAGGGGTCAAGAAAGTAGCATGCATTTTGCTTGTGAGCTTAACATCTCCTGAATTATGGATCACACACGATTGTTTCCTGGTGTCTGTTAGTCACAAGGACTAGGCCTTTGGAGAATAGCTTTAAAAACTATCGACATCAATCAATAGATGCCACTTTGCTCTGTATTGATTGACTTTCGGCCACTAAAGCAGCATCGCTGGTCATTTGCTTCCTGAAGAGAATTGCCTGAGTAAAGTAGCTGTGTTAACAGAAGCAAATGAGATCATGCTGTTCTGTACCAGTCAGGCATGGCTGATGCTTCTAGAAAATCATAAGTCAGTTATATTTCTGATAGCTCTTGGTCTTTAGTGAAATTTTAGAATTGGCTCAGTTACAGATTTTTGGAAAATAAAATGCAAGTAATCCACATTTTTTTAGTCTAAATGCAACAATAAAGTAGACTGAAAAAAAACCCACCCATGCTAGATTGTGTTGGGAAGGGTTTGTCTCTGCTACCATTTACAAATCCTGGCTTGATTACTGAATAAATGTAGTTACAAATTACGTAGTCCAAATGACTAACAATGGAAATATTAATATTAACTATAATTTAATCTGAATACTGTTGGAGTACTTTAGACTGACTTCTGATCTAACTGGTTCATTTAGTTTCAATGTTGAATAAAAATACAATCTATTTCAACAAGAAAAACATTCTTCAAAAAATGCTTCTTTCCATACATTAAAAAGAACAAAATAATTACACACAAAAAACATTTTTATATTCACCCTATTACATTAACTAGGGCAGTCGTGGCCTAATGGTTAGAGCGTCAGACTTGGAACGTGAAGGTCGTGGGTTTGAGTCTCAGGTCCAGCAGGGATTGTAGATTGGGGGAATGAATGACAAGTGCTGTCTTCCACCCTCAATACCACGACTGAGGTGAGAATCTTGAGCAAGGCACCAAACCCCCAACTGCTCCCTGGGTGCTGCAGCAAAAAAAAAGTGTGTGTGTGCATGCACTTGGATGGGTTAAATGCAGACCATGGGTTGCTACACTTCACTTGAAATTAGATGAAACATTATATAATGATGTAGACACAAGGACATTATTTAGGCTACTTCTAAGAACACAACAACCTTTATTGTGAACTTAACCTCACTGGCTACTTTAATAGGAACACCTGTACACTTGCTCATTCATGCAATTATCAAATGGGTCAATCATGTAGCAGCACAGCAATGAATAAAGGTCAGTTTATTTCAAACATTAGAATGGGGGGAAAATGTGGTTGCTGGTGCCAGACAGGCTGGTTTGAGTATTTCAGAAACTGCTGATCTGGCATTATCATGTGCAACAGTCTCTAGAGTTTACACAGAATGGTGTGAAAAACAAAAAAGGCATATACAGAGTGGCAGCTCTACCAGAGGAAACACCTTTTTGATGAGAGAGGTCAGAGGTCAAATAAGCACTCCTTACAACCATGGTGAGCAGAAAAGCATCTCAGTACATACAACACCTCGAACCTTGAGATGGATGGGCTACAACAGCAGAAGACTACATTGGGTTCCATTCCTGTCAGCCAAGAACACGAATATTCCCCCAGTTTCTCCCTAACTTAGGAAAGAGTATGCCATCCCTCCTACCAGACAGCTAAAATTCCAAGTGTCATCTACTATTACTATGAAGTGGGGTGATTAGATATACTGCGGTCATACAAACAGCAGTTATGAAGTTTACGGGCACACTCAATAAATCGTGATAATTATTAGTGTAAATGTACTCAATTAATATATAAAATATGTATATCTGATAGTTTAATCCAAATACATATCCCAAATTACCTTCAGTCCAGAACTACCCAACACCATACTCCACAATGGTTTGGCTACAGCAATCTCAAATATTCTACTTAGTTGTTTCTAGATTTTTTTTTACTTAGTTGTTTCTAGATTTATTTGTCTTGAGAAGAGATTTTTAAAAATTGTTTCTACATAAAATGTAGACAAAAAAAACCTTAAAAAAAACTCCTAAAAACCTTTACTTTTTGTCATATTGTGACATTTTGGCAGTGTTTGTGATGTACTTTTAGAAAATCTCCACTGAAGTATATCCTTGACTAGAAAGTAACGTCAGAATTGTACTTTTTTGTACAGATGGACAGATAGATGGATACCCAAGGGAAAATTTGGTATTTGGGAGTCACTCTAGCTGACAGCCTCTCAAGACGGCGCCACAAGTAATGTAGGACTACGTGGGTTATAATTTTCCTTTTATGCATTCTTAAGCCCATTGTATTTAAATCTTTGTAATGTACTTTGCCGTTATAGTTAGTGCCAAAATGATTGGCATCCATCAAGAGAATGGACATAAATCGTGGTGTAAATATGTATAAATATTTAATATGACGTTGCACACAATTAAAATCCATTTCTTATCCATCACCATGCAGAAAACCAAAGAGCTTTTAATGCAAAAGAAAAAAAAGACAAATGGTTGTTAACCTGCACAAGTCATGTAGTGGATATTAAAATATACTTTTCAAACACCATTAAGCACAGTCAGAGCCAAATTAAAAAGCTTTAGGATCACCTTGTACAGTGGAACCCAAAGAGGAACTCAGAGATGACAGTTTCAGAATTACATAATTTATGTCTGATTCTTTGTTTTGTTTTTTTTTTTAACTTTCAAACTTTTGAAAAATTCACCATTAGACACCACAACCATAAGAACACACTGTTTGAAACAGTTGCACAAAAGACAACACAAACACCATGCCTAAACTTCACCAAGTGTCATTGGAACTACAACTGGAGTCATGATTTGTAATATTAGTGTTTGGCCATAGACACATTGTTTGGTAAAAGATAATGTGTGGATCAAAAAAAGGAGGCAGTGAACTTTGCATAAACATGTGTTGAAATCTTTTTCTATGGAGGTGTAGCCTAAGATCTTTCTACAAGTGTCTTCAACCTCATACAGGTTGGCTCAGTGCTGTTACTTCTTCCAGGGTTCACCAATTATTAATTATAGAATACCAGAATTCTGTTTTGCAGAATAAATTGCACTACTTGAGAAATATTGTTAAAATAAAACTTTATAGAAAATATCACTCATTGCCATTCATATCATTTTATTCACATTTTGCTCATTGCCTGTAAGACCAATATCCAATATCATGTTTCATGCAAATAGTTGGTGCAAACAATCTGTGAAAACTTGATACGTTTATCTGCTATGTTTAGGATCAACCAGGATAAAACCAACATGCTCCAACATGCTTCATAGCCAACTTCTAAGATATTTATGAAACAAAATTACATAAAGCAGGCTACTGTATGTCACTGTAGCTATTCTTAGTTGTGAGGAAGTTGTTAGGCTAAAAGCTACAAAGAGGTTAGATACAGTAGGCTAATTGCTTTTAGAAAAACAGTGGTGATGTAATTCTATGCCTAAAAGTGATCCTTAAGTAGGTTATAAGATAATGTAGAAGCAACACAATGTAGCACCAGCTCTTCCTTCCTAATCAAAACCATTAGTAGCCAACTTAACATAAATCAAATTTATTATGGATGAATATTTAACAAACTTTGCATTACACAGAGCCTGATTTGATAACTTGAATCAATACCTTGTATGAGGGAGGAAAAAAAAAAAAAAACACCAAAATGCTTACGGTAATGTAAGTAAATTATTGTTGAAGACACAGGGTGACTTTGTTATAGCATAGGTAATTTTTACTGTATGCTTCCTGAGAACTCAGGAACTAGTTATGAATAACTATACTGAATAACATAACTATAAGAATGTCATTTCTCCTGTTTCTCTTGTAAATAAAATAAATCATATTTCTTTGTACAAATATAGCCTGTAAGTGTGGCAGTTGTGTTATGGATGCTTGAGTCCAGGAAGTCATGCTTGGTCACTGGTTGAAATGGCCATTACAGTGTACAGTAGTGGCTCATATTTTCAGCTGATTCAGTCATAATTGTTTGCTTACATTCTTAGTGAAATGGCTTCCTCTGTTTTGGCTGGTTTTGTGCAGAGGTATCTAAACAATCACGGTAATAAAAGTGGAAAATAATGTGGCTGCTGCCTATTAGACAAGCAGACGTTTCTCTAGAAGGCTCTTTTTTTTTTTTTTTTTTTTAAATAATGAGCTCAAATGAACTGCCCAGGCAGACTGGCTCTGTAGCTCCGCCTCCCCTCGATTCCTATTGGTTATCTGTTTGATCGTCTAGGAGGTTAGTGCGCTCTGATTGGTCAGCGTTTCACCGCGTCGTCGCAGCCTTGTAGAGTTTTGATTGAAGTGCGCAGAAAAAAAGCTTTCAGTCCAGCTTGGCTTTGAAACCGAGCCCGGTAAATATGCCCAATAATAATAGATATTAAATGCTATTCTAGAAAAAATGGCTTTTGGAGATTCAACACTGCAGACAGAGACTTTTGGGTTTGTCCTGTTTGGGCACATGGCTGATGGATAAACTTGATCCAGGATCTTGAAGTGAGGAGATCGGAAAAAGAATTAAACTTACCTACAGAGCAGAATGTGACTTGTTCTTCTTCTTCTTTTTTTATTTTTATTTAGTTTTTTATTTATTAAAAATAAATCCTGGGACAAAATCCTGCGACTGGTAAGCTGGATCGCGGACTGGAACTGGGAAGCAGAAGTGAGAAGAATAATAATAGTAAGGAGAAGAATAATAAGAAGCAGAAGAAGATTGAGGAGATCATTTGCGCGCGCCACTTGTGCGGCTCCCGCATGCCCGCATGATGCGGGAGTGGAGCAGAGAGAGTGCGGGACGGATAGTTCTGTCCGGAATTGCACAAGTTTGGTTCTGACTTCTGGTTCTGATGAGCAGGCTCCCAGGCGATGGCGTCTGAGGTGGTGTGTGAACTGATCTTCAGACTGCTGCTGCCCTTCTGCTTGGCAGCAGGTGAGTAGACAAAAAAAAAAAAAAAAAAAAAAAAAAAAAAAAAAAAAA